GATTGTCCAAGTACAAACTCAGATATTCTTTAACTCTTTGAGTGCCAAATTATGCTCATGCCACACACATTTTGTCTAATTTTCACTGAATTTCACCTTAATTTGGGACTAAACAGATAAAATTTAACATTGTGATGTAGTTTTTGATAAAAAAAATGTTGACATTGTCACAATATTTCATATGGAGAAGAGTAGACTATAAATGGAAGTACCTTGTGGATGGTACATGCGTGAAGTTGACTTTGGCACCCAAGTGTTTAAGCAATTCATTTATAACTAAAGATTTATTTTTAGCAAAATACTTGTTATTCTGGTTGAACAGGAAGTTTGACCTATTATTATTTTTTGACCTATTAAGTTTGTGGCTTGCATATCATATCATTAAACCAAATAAGGACATTCCAAACAAAAAAACATTCTGAAATTCTGTTTTTACCATTTTCAGGGACATGTGTTATACCGATCCAGCCATTAAATGTAATTGTATTTATCTAATGATGAAATACTTAATATATGTATATACATGTACTAGGTAATCTATACTGCCCTCTATGCCAAATAGCAAAATTCTCCAAACATGCTGCAATAATGTTTCATGGCATCAGTCAATATGCTACCAGTTTATAGCAATTAAATTGTCACATTTGTTTTTGGCACCATTTTTTTCAAATAAACCCGTGTATAAAGTGTAAAAATTATGAAATATGATTAAATGCTTAGCAATCAATCGAATCAAGACAGACAAGCACATTTTCATTTATTCCCCCATTTTCAAATATTTAAATTTCCCCCTTAAACTGAATAACCTCTATGTAAATGATTTGTTAAAGCTCTTTGTATCACTATATACAGGTCTGGCTATAGTGATGTGTCATTGTATGAAATGCCTGGTTGCTATGGCCTACATTGACCTCATATTACAGATATAGTGTAGACATATGTTGCAGTCAAGTGTATCTAAGGATGTGCTTTTATTACTGCATGAATTCAATAGTGTAGAGTATTTAGTCTTTCGTTGGTGTGATTTTAATATTGTATATGAAGTTCAGTATATGGGGGTGGATCCAGGTTTTGTCATAGTACTGAAATGTTTGTCATACCATTTCAATTCTGGAGAATTCTTACCATTTTTGGTACTTTCTGGTAAATCTGACTACTGCACAAGTGGATTATGCCTGGATCCACACTTGGTATATGTGTGCTGCTGTAGGTTGTGTGCTTTTAAATATAATACAAGGAATTTTTAAGGTGTGCTTCTTAGATAAAAATTGCTGCATACATTTGTAATAAAAATGTGTACTTCTAACCATATCCCCTGAAAGTGTTGATGGTGTGCCTCAAATAAAGGGGAGAAATGTTATATTACTTACTCATCCCAGCGTATTAGTAATGGTGCGCCTCTGAATAGTGTGTTATATCAAAAACTTAATCATGTAGCAACAAGGCGTACAATATCATAATGTATATCATATATTATTCACTCAGCTGTATCTACTGTAACATTTTTAATTTACGAAAATTATCAAGAGACTGAAATGTTTTGTTTTTTTTTAATTTGTTGTTGAAGTACTTCACTTGTGATATGAATTTTCATTTACATTGTCTTTTATGATACCGTTTTTGTGCAATGAATATCATGTAATTTAAAAATGTAAACTTAAAATGTATGTTTAATATATTAAAATAAAACTATAATAATCAACATGCTTTTCAATAAATCGTTTTGGATATGGCATGAATGCTTTAATTATTAAGTGACTATTATGAAATTTGTATTGATGGGGGGGGGGGGTGATAAATGATTAAAAGAACCCAGTAAGTGGGTCATAAGTTAAAAAGGGGGCGAAAGACTGAGTGAGAGGTCAAGAGGTGCAGTAATTGGGAGGGGAGGCTGGCAGGGACCTAAGCAAGAGGGAGAGATCAGGAGAGACTGAATGTGGTCATGTAGGGTAGTGAACAATCAAAATAGGCTAGGTTTTACCACACCACCAGACATCTTATCTACCCCCAGGCCTTTCCTTCTCACCTAAAGCTTCTCTTGACTGTTTCTTTTGTTTACAGCCCCTCCCAGCCTCTCTTCCTTTGTCATTCACTTTTGATCCCCTTCCAAACCTTATGGCCCTTCCCGACCCCCTCTTGCATTCCACCCATCCCAAAATCCCCCTTTCACATACATCCCCTCTCGGCCTCTTAAACCCATCCCAAAATCCCCCTCTCTCAGTGTCTACATCTTCACTCAGCTTCAATATCTTACTGACTCTCAAGGCCTTTTCCCTTTAACCACTTAATCCTGGCTTCTGGTAATTTACTTCCCCACACTATATCCCCCTCTCACCTAGAGCATCACCTGGCTTCTCCTCATCCACATTGCCTCCTGTCCTACCATCTTGCTTACATCACCTCTTTGACTTTACCTGTTGTTTACAGCCCATCCCAACAGTAACTGCCTTCTCGCCTCACTTAACACCTGTAACCCACCCGTTCTCTGCCCCTCACTTACAACCTATCCCCAAACCTCCCTTGTTTACATCCCAACCCAGCCTCAATTCCTTGCTTACTGTACTTAAGGCCTTTTTCTCCTTATCACTCAATCTTGGCCTTGTCTCATCATTTATTGCCCACACATTATCCGCCTCCCCTCATTACAGCCCATTCCAACTGTCACAGACTTCTACTCACTAACCACCCCAGTCAGCCTTTCACTCTCTCATCACCAAATCCTGGCTTTTTGAGATTAGGCATGCCCCAAATGATATATCTCTCTCTCTTGCCAAAAGCTCCTCCCCACTTCTCTTTTTTACCTACAGTTCCCTGGCCCATCTCTCACACCTAAAGCCCATTCTTGTCACTTCACTTATGGCCATCCCTCTGGGCCCCCTCTCTTGCTTATGACTCAATCCTGGCTTCTTTTCAAGGTTTTTTTCTCCTTATCACTCGATCCTGGCCTTGTCTGATCATTAATTGCCCACACATTATCCGCCTGCCCTCATTACAGCCTATTCCAACTGTCACAGACTTCTACTCACTAAGCACCCCAGTCAGCCTTTCACTCTCTCATCACCAAATCCTGGCTTTTTGAGATTAGGCATGCCCCAAATGATATCTCTCTTGCCAAAAGCCCCTCCCCTCTTCTCTTTTTTTTACCTACAGTTCCCTGGCCCATCTCTCACACCTAAATCCCATTCCTGTCACTTCACTTATGGCCATCCCTCTGGGCCCCCTCTCTTGCTTATGACTCAATCCTGGCTTCTTCTGATTTTTAGTGCACCACACAACACCCAGCCTTCTATCCCTTTCTCATTCGCTTTGATCCTCTTCCTGGTCTCTTACGATTATTTACTCCCTTTCCACACAAACTCCCTTTAGCATCCCCCTTTGAATATGACCCCCTCCCAACCCTGTCTTGCTTACTGCCCCTCCAAGTCATTTT